CCTCACTGTCTACAAGTCAAGTCTAAACTCCTTGGTCAGGCACTGGTGAAGGTACTGTACAGTCTCACACCAGCCTGCCTGTCTAGTTCTGCCTCTCACTGCAGCCAATCTGGACCATTCCCCATTCTCTTCTCATCTCCTCATCATACCCTTCTCTTCACCTGGGGTATTTCTCATATCCTTCAGGTAAAATTTGCTTACCTTACTCATCCTTCAAGATCCAGTGCCCATGTCACATGTTTTATAAATACAACATTCCTATTTCTTACAGCAAGAACTGATTCTCCTTAGTCTGAACTCACACAGCAACTGTCATAGCTTTCTTCTGGCACTTTCGTATTCTATCTTGTGCAATAAAGATGAATATACTTCATGACGTCTACTACCAGTATGCCTTGAGTACAGACAGGGTCTTGGTTTTTGCCTTCACCCCAGCATCTAACACATTGTCTTGCATTTAATTATTGAATTAAATAATTTAAAGTTTATAGTATACATCAGTATGATTTCTCATAGCACCATATCAGCCCATTTTGTTACCGAACAAATGGACCTGTTGTGGAAGGGAGGGGTGTTGCCCAGATGCTATTACCAAAATGACACCCCCCTTCTCCAGGGTCCCTCAGTTGTAGGTCCACTGCCTTTGGAATTATGGCTCCAAATGGCAGAGTTTGGTGAAAAGGAAAGGAACTATTTATTCAAAAGTTACACAGGTTTGATTAATGGCTAACTGTTGCTCTTAAATCTCAAAATTCCCTTAAAACGACCAGCAGCACACACACAATTCTGCCTTCCCCCGCTTTGCCCAGTTAGGCCAGTCAGGCCTGTCAGGGGTACCGTTCTTCAGAAAGAACAGAAGTCCGGGGCTCAGCTAGGCAGGCCTCTCGCAGGTCTCAGCACCATCCACTGCGCCACCGCGATCTCCAGCTCTTCATCCATAACCATGTGGCACCTTCTCATGGCCCACTAGCAAGAGTCCTTTCTCCCCTCTTTCTTCCCATGTGGTCTTCACACTGTTCTCGAGTCTGTGTACCATTGTCTCTCCGGAAGGCCCCTGCCCCTGTCTCTCCTCTTCCCTCTCCCAGTTACATTCTGTATTAAATCTTTTAAACCTTTCTGACTAGCCTTGGTGATATGCAAAATAACCCTCTTTGCATATGAGGAATGAAGCTATCCTGTTATTGCCATGCAAAATGACTCTCTAGGGCCCTGCTCTAGGCTCCCATCTCCCCTGGCGGCCTGCTCTGGAGTGGGAAGAATATATTTTTCTTGGACACCCCAATCTCTGGACCCCATCACAAATACCCTTTGGGAGGGGCCCTGGCTGTGCCCTGTTACAATTTCAAAAAATAAAATCATGTAACAATAGTAGCTATAATAGAAAGTTTCAAAACAACAGAGGTTTAGGGAAGTCTCCCAGAATGCAAATAGAAGAACCAAATATTTACATTAGAATGTATAGCAGTGATTTTCAGTTAAGAAAGGTCTAAATAGTGAATAATTTTCCTATTGCAAATCCAAGAGAATCCCAAAACCCTGAAACCTGCCCTTATGTGTCATATAAAATATACAAATGGAGAGGCTGTTTCCCTGACAAATAAACAAATCCTGACTCTACCTTCTTGAACTCCCAGCTCTGCACTTTGTGCCTGTATCTGCTTCAAAAACAGTGGAAAACTTCAGAAGCCCCCAGTATTCTTCAGAAAAGGCACAGAATTACAAATTCAGTCTGGAAGGGAGAGGAGGAGGAAAGGGCAAATCCCCTACCTGGTACCCAGTGTATCACAGATCGGAAAACCACCACAGTGGTAAAAAGATTGTGGACTGAATGGAGAAAGAGTTGAAAACCATTTCTGTGTTGAGTTAAGCAGCAGGAGATGCTGTGATTTCCAAATCTTCACATTCTTTAGCAGTGAGGCAAAATAAACTTCCTGGGCAGTCCCTGGCTCACTAACAAAAAATGGGAAGGAGGGGAGGGGGATGGGACTGAGGCTTCAAAACACCGGCAATCACTCTCACTCTCATTTCAAGTACCCCAACAATCCATCTATAATAAGTAGCGTTTGAAATACAAAATTAGACTATCAATAGTGGTCTCCCTCCCTAAGTTCTCCTCATTCAAATCTGTCTTCACACTTCAGTTAAGTCAGTTGATTCTTGGATAAATTTCATTATGTTACTCTTTTCCCCTGAAAGATCCAGATCTTCTTTCTTTACAGAATAAAGTCCAAATGCAACCTGTCAACAAAGGGCTCTACAGTCTGGCCCAAACCTACCTTTAACCCTTTGTCTCTCTGCCTCTCTAGCATTTTATTCTTCCTTCTCTTTTCTATTCATTTAATTTACAAAACATTTTCTGACAAGTTAGTATGAATAAGGTCCTGTGAAGGTATGCACTTAAAAACTTTAACCATATCTAATTTTATTGTTATCAAACATTTTTGAGCACCACGGTATCAAATACTGTGCTACAAATTGAGAAAATCAAGAAACAAAATTTAGTTCTGATTCTCTAGCAGTTTAGATGATACATTATTCCCCTTTGTGAATTCTCAGTCCAGTGAAATGACTATAAATGTACCACATTTTTGTTCTTCTGGGCCTCTGAACAAACTTTTCCCTGGCTGAAATATCCTCCCTCTTCCCTTTTCAAAAACCCACTTTAAAATCTCTCTCTCTGACCCCCTTGCTAAAAAGCCTTACTCCCACTAGGAGTTACTAGCACTGCCATAGAGACTCTTAACATTTACGTATCATGTCTTCCTAACAAAGGCATGTAAGTGCAATTTCAAGAAAAGGAGTGGTTAAAATTGTCAGAAGGGAGAAAAAAAAGTATAATAAACTGTTCTGTATCTCCCACAGTACCTCACAAAATATGATGTACAAAGATAGTCAATGTATGTTTTCATTTGTAATCAGTGAAAAATATAAATTTGTTAAATTTTATTGAAATTAAAGAGTGATATTACAAGTGTAAACTAAAGGGCATTGTGATGTTAGAAGTGTAAATTAAAGGGCAAATAAGCCTAAATTAGGCATTCAGGAACTTTTCCTCTAACAGGTCTCTGTTCTGACCACCAACACATGGTTTCTGACAGTAAAAATCAGTTAGCCTTAATCATATCAAACAATGAAATCAAATCAATTTTCTGAACCTGCACAGGAAGAATCAGATGCTAAACAATGAAGACACCATCAAGATATATAACAAGTATATTATGAAATCCATTCTGAAACAACCTGTTAGCCTTGGCTTTCACATTAATAATAAATACTTAGGAAAAAAATAACTCAAGAACATTTTAGTAGTGATGGGCCAAGACAGTCATCTTTGTATCTAGAGCATTCAAGAACTCTCTAAGGTAACAGAATAACTCAAAATCCAGGTGATATGGTATATCAATTCAAATATAGTCTTCTGGTTGCATTTAATATTTTTAAATCCCATTTCTAATAGTTACTTGATTGACCTTCATTAGTGTATCTCTTTACAAATCTAATAATTTTTCTACTTAATAATATTTTAGTAAATATTACTTTACTGTTTGTAATCCTTTCTTGTGTGAGTATTTATGTTATGTGGTAGGTATATATACCTTGAAATAATTTTATGAAATATGATTTTATTTTAACATTTAAAAAGCAGCAAGGCAAACATGCTGTCCACCCAAAGAATACCAAATTCCTTAGGGTATTGTTTGTAAGTAAGTCCAAATTTGTGATTGCTTATATCAGCAAAATATATATATACACACACATATATAAAAGATTGAATTATCTGATTAAAAAATGAGTGCTATGGTTTTTAAAATCTGATTAATATGGCTATTACATATAATTACATAACACAGTGGAAATTTTCAATGAAATCATAACAGTGCCACCCTGGCTGGTGTGGCTCAGTGGATTGAACACCAGCCTGTGAACCAAAAAGTCTCTGGTTCTATTCCCTGTCAGGTCACATGCCTGGAATGTGAGCCATGTCCCCAGTTGGGGGTATATAAGAGGCAACCAATCAGTATATCTCTCATACACTGATGTTTCTCTCCCTCTCTTCCTCCCTCCCTTCCCCTCTCTCTGAAAGTAAATAAATAAAACCTTTAAAAACAAAAAAGTAAAATAAAAACAGAACTATTAAAAAAATCATAGTAGTGCTTTCCATCAAAGGGAGGAATATTTTTTTTTAGTTAAGATACGTATTAGAGATCCACTGGTCCAAATTCATTTTCTGAATTATAACAGGATTGAAATGATTCACCAAAGTTGCCTTGTTGTTTAGCCAGCCTCTTTACTTCTGGACCACTAATTTTATCCCATACCACACAACTGCTAAAAATTTTAAGTATAATTCATTAACCACATCATTGATATGGTTGTACAAAAAGCAAGTCATATGAGGTTCTGGTTATTTCTGGTTTTTATCTTACCACAAGAAAGTAATTTTAAATGAAAAACTTTTATTAATCATGTATAATAATAGTGAAAATAATCAAATGATAATGTTAAGTAGCAAGAGCACATACAGTTTATTATATATTGAGAAACTGGACAAATCACCTTTAGGTTTTAATTTTTTATAATACTGACCATGAAAAACATTTCAAAACTATTTTCAAAGCTATCGGCTATTTAAACAAAAATTTTTTTAAGTACAATACTGTTGAACATTATCAAATTAACTCATTGAGTCCTTTTTTAGAAGTTGAAGGCAAAGGCATTTAAGAAAAAAAGAAAGATAAGAATCTATATGTAATTTAAATAATTCACACTTTTATAAAATACACCAAATATTTGATCCTCAAAAGAAAAGCTACATATTCCACATTAATGTCTAGTTTAAAGCCTCCTTTAAATATAGAAAAGAAATTCTAGGAGTTTCCCCTTCTATGTTTAAGGTACACATTTTCTTTAATAACTAGAGAGCTTTCAGAGCATACATGTCATTCTTCCATTACAACAATAATGGGTTTAAATTCTCAGCTTATTTTAAGTACACAATTTTATCTGTGCAGTGTGTTTGCAATCACTGTAAACCTTTGTCTTAGGAGCTCTCTTTTTTGTATTAGAAAGTTTTCAATAGTATTGGCTTCTTTGAAGAGTCCATCTATCTCGTCAATATAAGATGCATCTACTGCTGCTCTCTCACTAATGGGGAAAGAAGGTTTTATGTTAAATTAAAGTTAAGTCAAATAGTTACAATATCAAACATACCATCATAGTAATGTTCCTTATTATGCTATATTTGGTAGTTATTTCATTTAAACAGCTTTGTACATCTGAAAGCTTCAGTTTTCAAACACTCTTCAATTAAAGTTACATTAGATCCACAAATATTTTGACTACTCAAATTCTCCTTACACAGCAGATTGTGTATATTATAAATTATAATTCTAGTATCAAACAATATGCAGTCACGCTTCACTTAACAATGGGGATAAGCTTGGAGAGATGCATTGTCAGTTGATTTGATCACTGTGCAAACATCACAGAGTGCACTTACAGAAACCTAGATGGTATATAGCCTACTACACACCTAGGCTACATGGTATAGTCTATGCTCCTAGGCTACAAACCTGTACAACATATTACTGTACTGAATACTGTAGGCAATTGTAACACATAGGTAAGTATTTACCTGAACATAAAAAATATTACAGTATATATACAGTATAAAAAAATGTTAGGTGGTATACCTGTATAGGGCACTTAGCATGAATGGATCTTGGAGGACTGAAAGTTGCTCTGGTTGAGTCAGTGTTTGAGTGGTGAGTGAATATGAGGGCCTAGAACATTACGGCACACTACTGCAGACCTTATAAACACTATCCCACAAGGCCCCCCCCTACTTCCTTCTGATATGGTCAAAAATAGAACATTGAAGCTGTCAATGCTGCTCCATGAACAGAAATGTGGGCACACTGACTTAAAATAAAAGGAGAAACTGCCTGGGTAAGGCGTAAATCACCATAACAGTAACTGTCAGAAAATGGCCTGAGAATCAGTAGGAAGAGAAAATCAAGAAGGAAAGACAAAGGGGATAGTCATGGTAATGAGGTTTGGCTATTGCATGTTGTAGCAAGCAGTCATTAAAGAACTTTGTGATACTCACTTAAAAAAAAAGAGGTTATTTAACATTGAGGGGTATAGAACTGAGGACTCAATTTTGACTTTGGAATTTATTTTTGGTCCCATTGACTTTATTTGGCATAAAGGGCTCTCTCTGGCATTGAATTGAGGGAATACATCAAGTTTATCTATATTTTACATCATTATAACCTGAAAATATTTCCAAAATACAGGGACAGGCTGCCTCCACACTATCACAGAAAGCTGTTACTTAAAGTGGCAGTGGCACTTATATTTGTTAAGATAGCTCCTTCCAAACAATGTCATTTTATAGGATCTTAGGTCCTCAACAAAGATTTTTATGGCAAAGTACTCTGAAGACTATCAACCTAGATCTGAGATGGCTATAGCACTCTCTGAACATGTAGGACTAGGGGAAAAGGCTTCTCTGTGCTGAATCAGGTGAATGCCTGAGTGACTAGGTTGTAATCTGTGCACTCAAAACAGGTTCCATGAATGAGAGAGACTCTATTGCTAAGCCCCACAGATACAAGTCCCATCAGAGGAAAATAAAATTCCTCCTGAGCTACATAGCCTTCCATTTCTTACTGGAAATTCAGGTCCATTAGAATCTATGGGACCACTGTTGTACATGTGATCTGTCTTTGGCTGAGACATCATTATATAGAGCATGACTATACATTATTTAACAGCCACACTAACCATTATTCAAATACAATGACTGTCCAGTAGCTTTAAAAAACACTTTATAAAACATGATAATCTCAGGTCAATAAAATATTAAAAGTCATCCTTCAAACATGTATGGATGTTTAAATATTTCATGAGTATATTTACTTTATCCTTAATATCACTCTATTATTATCAATAACTTCACCAAATGGTAGTTTTCTCAAAGAGGTTTTATCATAAAATTTTAAATGTTATATTATCTAATTACAGGCCAAAATATATCCAGCCTAGTATTCATTCTGGTAATAGCAAATGAAGGATGCTTAGCAAATGAAAAAGTTGGGGTTATTCTTTGAAAATAACAAACTAACTTATTATAAGAAATTGAGGTAGAATTTAAAAATCCCAAAATTATAATAACTGGACAGGTTCTGCTGCCACTGAACTAAAGTTCCCGTTATGGAGTTTCCAAAAGAAAACTTCTAAAATAAAGACTCAAGAAAATGTACTGTAAGTACTTACCTTAAGATCTTTGCATATGTAGACAACATTAGATTAATTTCCTTGCTCATATCTATAAAAAAATCACTAAGTTAACTTATGAAATACAATAAACCTTTCTGTATTTATTATAAAATAAATATATAGAAATACAAGCATTTTATACATCACCATTCAAATCCTTCTCCAGGGCTTCATCTTTATAAAATAGTCCAGAGCTTTCAGAGAAAGAGGAATCTGATTTTCCAAGAGAGGACAGTTGAGGACTATCTGGCATTTGAGGCTAATACAAGAAAGTAAAAGAAAATAGGTAAACAGTCAACAAGATCCTTAGGATATATGCAGTCTATTTTTTAAAAGCAAATAAAACATCTTTCAGAAAAAAGCAAACATGCTAGAAATTATATGCTCTTCTGTCCTAATAAGTCATTTGAAATTTTATTACCAAGGAAACTATGAATCTCAACAAGTACCTTGTTCAACATACTAAATTTTATTTTAATTTTTTTATTAGACTTTGAAATATGGTATTAAACCCCTGTATCCTGAACCAGTTTCCTGTATATTGAACCAGCAGATGTTTCCATAGCAATGTAACAAAACTTTCATTTAGACAACAAACGCTTGAAAATTTTTGCAAGTAACAATCTTTAAACAAGCAAATAATGTCCCAAATAAAATATCAATTGGTGGGGACGGTAGTGAAGAAGGGCAGAATACAGTGTTCTTATTTTAAAAGGTCAGCAACTGGTACCTAGGTATCCTACTTATTATAGCAAAATAATTATTTAAAGTCCTATATAACATAAATATATGAATCAGCTTCTGTCTCTAGATCACAAATTACCACAAAGAAATCTCTCAACAGTTTCTTGGTAAACTATGTATTTAGTAAAAAAGCAGCTGGAGTCAGCATTGTTCCTGCTGGGACAATCCCAGCTCTGGGAATATGAAAACTTAAATCACATTTATCAATAGAACTTTCTTAACTGGAAGAAATTTGAGAATTACCATATTTTGCTGTGTATAATGTGTACTTTTTGCCCAAATTGTTGAGGGAAAAATAAGGATGCTCATTATTTGGGGTATAATGATTACATAACATGGGTATAATAATGGGTATGATAATCCCATGTATCATACAAAATATGGGTGTGCATTATTCATGGCAAAATATGGTATATATAAAATAAAGTAAGCCCTGACAACTGATAGATGTTTCTCTCCCTTTCTCCCTCCCTTCTCTTCTCTCTAAATAAATAAATAAATAAAATCTTAAAGAATCTTAAAATAAAACATTAAGGCTCAGGGAGCATATAAATTACCTCCAACTCTCTTGGTCTCTTGCAATTTCCAGTATCAGGTTTTACAAGGTGACTTGCCATCATATTCTAGAGACAAGAGCTGCAAAATTTTGAGCAATGCCAAATTTAAGTACCAACTCCATGCTACACAGCTCTCTTGAAACTTTCCCCTTTCTGTCCACTCACTGCCACTATTAATTTAGGCTTTTATTATCTGTCACTTACCTAAACTACACCATTTTTCCTTTTTCTAATTTATCCTACCAACTACTGTTTGGGCAATCTTTCAAAACTCTGATTACCATATTCTCTTAACCTTTCAAAACTGTTACTGCATTCCCTTATCCCAAAAACTTTGCCATTACTGTTCATTGATCCAGAATAAGTTCAAATTCCATCCAAAGTCCTATATCCCATAAGGCCAACCTACCGTTACCATGATTTTCCTCTACTGCTTCTATAGACAGTCAGTCAAACCAGTATATTTGGCGCTGCCTTGTGCCAGGATTCATTTAAGATTCTTCTACCTTCACAGTATCTTAATGTTCAAATGGGTATTATTGTTCATGTAAGTCAATCTCATTTTTTTTACAGACACAAAAACAGGAGCAGAGATAAGCACCAAGTTCAAACAAGTAAAACTGGGATGGACTAGACCAGATCTTTTCTAGGCTGAGGTTTTCTCCTACCTTCACGTACCATCAAATTTTACTTTTAAATTACTTTCCCATAAATTCTGAAGATAATTTCCCTAGGGGTCTGAAAGATTAAGTTTAAACTTAAAGAGAAAATGTTTTAACCTAGAATTGTATAGGCTCTACATCTTAAAAGAGGAGCCCTATTTACACTCAAGCTATCAATTAACTTGGCTTGTTTTTGAGAAATTATGCTGACATCAATAATTTTAAACTGTTTGATTAGTCATGTGTAATATTCATATATATAATAGTAACAGCAAATAATAAATGTTTAGTAAATTCAGTATAATGCTTCCACATTCCTGTCAGTAATTTTCTGGTATGTAAGTGTGTCATAATAGCAATATGTAGAAAACACTACACATGTACTGTAGTGCTCATTTTGCCTTGTAAAGTTTGAAAATATTTCACAGAAACCAACATGAAAGTTGCTCTTCTCCCTTCCCCTTTTTGTCTTCCCTTTTCCTCTTTCACCTCTTCTCCTCTCAAAATAACTGCATGTGCACATATGTCAAATTAAAACTTTTTATAATTAGGTAATTCTGTTTCTGGAAGAAAAAATTTCTGTCACGATATAGGGCCTTAGATGAATCTCGGGCTGGCCAAAAGACTGGGCCTTGTCCTGTGACAAACACGATTCACAGCCACCTACCTCGGCTGTGCAAGCTAACCTAAGGCTTCGGTGACCTAGCCATTACCAAGCACGACCCCTTTGCCCTATACAACTTTTTTCCTCCAGTCTTTTTCTCCTCAATGCCACCTCAGTCCCTCAGGCCATTTCACCTACCTTGTTTCTCACTTCCTGCCCCCTCTCCTTCCTCCCTGCTGGTTATTCAGCCCCACTAAGAAACCCTGAAACAAGCCTCCCTCACTGTCTTCTTTCACATTCTCACAAGCCGTCATCCCTCCGGCCTCACCCCAAAACCACTCTACCACCCGTTGTGCTCAGGACCTCACCACCTCAGCGAACACGCGGGAATGAAAAGGCCAGACGCGTGCCAGTGCTAGTGCGCAGACGCCACAGACGCCGTGAGCGTGGGCGGAGGCCAGAAGCTCCGGACGTCCCTCCCCCACCCCTCCACCCCCCACCACCGCACTCAGCGCGTGCTAATCACGTGATGCCACATCCACCTCCTGGAGTCCCGCCAGGAGTCTGGTCCCGGTCCTCCCGTGCTGTCGCGCAAAACCGGTTTTTTTCCGCTTCTCTCTCACTCGTCTGTTGGACTTGGAATTTGCACGAAACAAAAAATCTCTCCCTGCCTCGCAGTGTGTGTTTGGGGAAGAAGAGAAAAAAATCTAAGACTCATGTCTTCGGAAATAACGTGGAAGAATTGACAGAACAAGACTAGATTGTGTCCCGGCAATTTTGGAATCTCAGAAAAGGGACACAAAATAGTACACTACCGTCACTTTTACATCCTATTTTACATGGTTTCTGTGATGGAAGGGTTATATCTGAATGCCCGTGGCCTAAGACTTCGAGATCAGAACCTCCATTCTTTGACCTCTTTTTTGTTGGTGCAACCAAGCTTTGAGAATCACGCCGTTTTTAGAAAACTGCTTTCCTGATATGACGATGAGTTTAGTCCACTTAATTGACGGTATTCAAGAAATATTTTGTAACACGCATGACCAACATACCTGAAGTCTAGCCTATTGGGTGATTTAATGTGGAGACTTTGACCTGCAATTTCAAAGCTAGACGTTCAAACTTAAGCCCAGTTAGGTGATATGGAAGGAAAAAAGGATATCAGCTCATAAAACAAAGGTCAATAACCCCCCCCCCCCATAAATTCCAGGTATGCAGTCTTACACCTGTCAAAATTTATGACCCATACCTTAACCTATCATAACAGGGAGGACATATAGGAGAAGCTCTCACACCCTATCTCTCAAAAAACCTTACGGGAAGAGCTCTCTGTTTACAACAGAACTCAGGGTTGTAACAGTCCCTCCCCTTAACTTGATCTTCCCTTCTATAAAATACCTCCTCTATCCAGGCGTCAATCTCCACATGGTAGTCTATGTCTGCACATTTTGTATTGTGACCTTTCTTTTTCCTAAACAGATACTTTTCTGTGAGGGAATACCTACTCCACTTTTGTTTATAATTGACATCCTTTGGAAATTATATTTAACATATAAAATTTAATGTTTTTCTCCTTTGGCTTATTTTTTAGAGAGAAAGGAAAGGAAGGAGAAAGAGAGGAACAGAAACATTAATTGGTTGCCACTTACATGTGCCCCAAATGAGGCCAGCCCGCAACCTAGGCATGTGCCTTGACCCCGGAATCCAACCAGCCACCTTTTGCTTTGGGGGTCAGCCCAACCAACTGACCTACACTGGTCAGGGCTCCTTTGGCTTATTTAAATATTAGTTGTCATGCAGACTTGTAAGCATTGTGTGTATATGTTTATTTACTGGCTGTTAAAAAGCCAATTGTTTTTAAATAAGTTCCTAGAAAACGTGCTCAATTTAACTTTATTTGCTAATATTGTGAATTATCAATCACTTAAACTAGGCTAGATAATTATGGTGCAATTATTGACACTCTTTAAAGGATGTTAATCTATGTTGAAATTTTTCCCATCTGTGGTAAAGTGAGGGAAAAAGTAATGAAAATCCCATAAAGCTAATGTATTCGCTTTTTTTAAAATGTCATTTATTCTGATATTATTTCTTAATTTTTTTGGTGTTAAAGTATCTTTTCATGAAATGAAAGTATAAAGATTTTTAGATTTTTAATGTCCCTAGTAAAATATAAAATTATCCACTCAGTGTTTATCTAGTCTTCATTATTACCATTATTGTTATTATTTTTATGGTCATTAAATCCCAAAGAGTGAAAAATACTGATCTAATTGCCCTCCCAGGCTTCACAGGTAGTTATCCAGTTCTTAAAATATTTCCAGGAGCCCTGACTGGTTTGGGTCAGTGGTTTGGCCATTGTCCCACAAACGAAAAGGTTACAGGTTCAATTCCCAGTCAGGGCACATGCCTGGTTTTCAGGCTAGGTCCCCTGTTGGGGACATGCAAGAGTCACTCTCACTCATCAATATTTCTCTCCCTGTCTCTCTTCCTTCCTCTCTCTCTAAAAATAAATAAATAAAATCTTTTTAAAAAAATTAAAAGGGCTATCATCATCTCATTTAATCTTCACAAATATCCCTATGAAGTAGGCAGGACAGAGACATTTGGGTTACTCAATATCAAAGAAAAAATTGTGTCACAAGACTAAGAAATGGGTTAAGTTATGCATTCTACATCTTTATAGCTAAAGAAAAATAATTAGCAAAAGGCCATTTAAAATTAATTTGTTTGGTCCTCTGCTACTGATCATTGTTTGACTGCTTGTCATACTTTCATGTTAATTGGCCTGATTGGACATTACCGTTGGAGAATGAAAACTTATTTCAATTTCAATCATATGTGTGCTCTTACATGCTTCTTAAATGTGCTGTTTTTTACTTCTGATAGTCATCATACCAAGCACTTCCAGCCATCCTACCACAGACTTCCTTTGTAATCACTACTGTGGTCGTGATATTTTTATGACCTTATAAAATGAAAACACTCGTTATAAACAAAACAAGAAAATTTCAGCAAGTTGCTAAAGTAAGTATTGTGTTTCCTAACTCCAGAACCTGTCTGTTCCCCTCCAGTCTCTGTACCAGCAAAAAAACAAAAACCAAAAGTCACCTTACTAATTACCTTGCTAGCAAGGTAGTACAATTTAGCATATATTCAAGAGAAAATTGTCTAAAAACTTTGTTTTCTTCTAATTATTTTTGGCTGTGATATTTGTACTCTGCTTTTTGAAAGTTATGTTTTAGGTGTATAATCACATTATATTAATTACTTTAATAAGGCTAATTATTCAGCGCTGTTAGATAAGAAAGTTTTGTCCTGAAGTGTAAGTAGAATAGATTAATGTAAGAAAGATGATTTTAATTGAGCAAGTCGGTGCTCTTTTAAAAGTTGCTTGGATGTACTTCTGAAAGAGGTACAAACTTTGGATAGTCAGAATTCCAACATTTACAGAAGAAATTATTTCATTAAAATACTGATTTTGCATTAAAGAAATACCCATATTTTCTGACAATTTGTTTAAAGTCTATTGCCTTAAGAAAGAGCTTATGGCTGAAGGCGGGCCCAAGAACAGTCTCCTCCTCCAGTTCTCTTCCTCCTTCCGACAGCTAGGAGTTCTGATTTCCAAAGCTTTTTTTTGCATTCCTGCTTTGGCTGCTGAAGAGGCTGTCACCTTCTCCACAGCCTCAGGAAAAGAAAAAAAGACCTCAAACTTTCCAGATCACTTTTTCTTCTAGGAAACTATTGAGCACAGGTAAGAAATATATTTCCTCTTTATTTGGAAACCTAAGCATGGTGATTAGAGGTAAACAAGCTAGAAAAGTGATTGAGAGAAATTTAAGTCTTCTGACATTGCTATGATGGACAGTCAATATCCAGCTATTTCAAGTTCTACTAAATCTTTAAAATTTCTCTTTAATTGTGATTTATTCATATAATCCTCATATGAATACTATGAATTCTTACTTGAATTTCCACATGAATTCTTACAGTAATTTCACAAAATGTCTCTAATTTTTTTCATAATGTACTGTCAGCTCAGTAACCTGCTTTTTTATTGCCTGTGAGGTTAAAATCAAATGCTTGTACATGACTTGCAAAGCTCTCCCTAATTTAACCCGACCCTACTTTATGTTCAGTGCAGGCAGCAGGATTGTTCTGAGACAATAAAAAATATGGCCCCACTCAGTCCAGCCCCCCATGTTGTTTTTATTACTACATAAATGTGTTTAACTTTAAACATTCTTTAAGATTAAATTTAATTTTCATTCCAAACAAGGCCATTTCAACTATATCAGTTCTGTTTTGGCTTTTGGCTTTTAGTGTGTATTTAGCAGTTAATTATGTATCTTTTATTAATCATTATTTATCTAGATCTTTACCTAGGTCTTATTCTACCCACACCTGCACCACACCACACCCACATACATACATTAATAAGATGGCAACATTTTCTAAGACAAAATAATTTATAGAACTGAAAGGTTGGGATTTGAATCTTACTGCTGTCAAGGTAACTACATATCTGATTTCAGGTAATATGCTGCCTCATTTAATCCCATATTATTCCACAGAATTGGAATTCCACAGCAAGGTTAAACATAATTATAGTTGCTTTTCAAGTTTGAGGCATTTTTACTCTTAACCTAATAGCATGGTTTTAAACTCCTACTAGCTTAACAATGTTGGCTATGTACTAAATATTCAATAAATACATATCATTTCACAATTATGAGGAAGTGGTTACTCAGGCATTTGACTGGACTGAGTCATGTTAATTGGCCTAATTGGACATTACCCTTGGAGGATGAAAACTTATTTCAATTTCAATCATATGTGTGCTCTTACATGCTTCTTAAATGTGCTGCCACAAATAAATGGTTCTTTCCTTGCAACCTTATCTAGAATCTAGAATTAAAGAATGTTTGTGCTAGAAAAAACCTTAAAGATTGATCATTCAACTCCCTGCTTATCCAGATGAGAAAATTGAGACCCTCAGAGTTAAATGACTAGTGCCAGACAAGTTTGGAATGCATGTGGCCTCATTTCCATCATGATTTTCTACCATCCATTAACCTCTAGCTAGTTTCCAAGGCTTGAATTAACTATAACTTTCTTGTTTGTTTGTTTCAGAGAGCCAATTGTCCCAGCATATTCTTAGAAGGATCTTTCCGAGATGGTTTATGACTTTTTTTTTAAAGTCAATAACCTGAGTATCTTATGAGAAATATTTTTAAGTATTTTTATCCAATGGAAACTGTAATTTTTCAAGATTAGAGTTAAGAAAGCAAAGGAATACAGGTGAGAAAGGAAAAGGAAAATTGGAGGAAGGAAAAGGAAGAGGACATGATACTTGTAATCATAGATGTATTAAGACTTAACAGAAAGAGTGGTAGGAGAAGAAAAAATTCAAAATAAACATATCAAGTAAAGAGAAACTACTAGGGAAAAAAAGAAGAGGAAAAATATTAGAGGAATTACTCTATTTTTTTAAAATATGTTTTCAGACTTACTCCTATTTTCTTTTTCTCATTGGCTTTAAGATGGAGTGAAAGTTTTAGGACAGAACTCTACCAGCTCTTTACACATTGTTGTCATGATGACAAGTTTTGTTATAGCAAGCATTTATTTATTTACTGTGTATAAGTTCTTTTCAGGTGTTGAAGATATTTTATAAAGGACAAATTGTCTTAAAGAAATTCACTTTAAAGCTGGCCAGAATTACTTGTCATCAAAATAATTTTAATTCAATGTAAAATCTATTTCAGAAGACTGAAGTGGGGAGAGTTGGGGGAGGTAGGCACTAAGAAGGGAATGATTGGCTAGAAATGTAGGAGTCAGGGAAGTTTTCCTAGAGGAGACGTTTGAGCTGGGACTTAAAGGATGAAGAAGGGTTTGGCAGGGGGGAAATAAAAAGCAGAGGAAGTGCTAGTCGGAGGGGTGGAATATAACTCTGGCAACAGTATGTAGTGGGGGAGAGTCTAGAAGCAAGAAAAGTGAGAAGAGTATTAAAGTAGAAGATGCCAGGAATGATGAGGGCTTGATTTAAAACAGTGCTGGTGGAGATGGAGAGGTTATACCAAATAATAAAGACATTTCTGAGTTATGAGACAGAGAAAAAATAGCCAAAGGAGTCAAGAAGGACTTCCAGGTTTTAGTTTTGAACAGGTCATTTGGGCATGTTTGGGAAAGTAATCCATTAGTACAATATATCTTACAGTTGGAACTGTGAATTAGAGCCAGAAATTGAAATTTGCAAGTCATGTTTCCTCCGATAACAACCACTGTCTCTCTTTAGTTTAGTTAGTTTTAGTTTCAGTCAAACTTGCTGAAAGAATAGTTTGTATTTACTGTCTATACTTTTTCCCCATCCCCTATTGTCCTAGATCTTTGTTAACCTGCCTTTTGCTACCTCCACTTTCCCCAAATTGTTCTATGGATACCAAAACTTCGTAATTGTCAAATTCAATGAGCAAGTTTAAGCTTGTACCTAAGTTTGGGCTCTGCAGTATCTGATTTCAAGCAGCCCTTCCTTGATGCTCCTTTCTCCCTTGACTTCTGTGACATTTCTCTATTAGTTTTGCAGAACTAAACTAATTATTTTCCACTCCAGTCCATCATTCTCTGTTTAATGATGTAACACTCAAATTCCTCAAGTAGAAAACTTTGAAGTCATCCTCAGTTCCTCCTTCTTCCACTTGACCGACTGCCAATCAACTAAAAAATCCTGCTGTTGAATCTCTCTTGGATGTACCCTCTCCCTTTCATCCCTGCAGCTACCACCTTAGCTTGTATAGACTCATCAACTCTTTCCTTAACTGTTTTGGTTCGTTTGTCTTTCTTAACTGTTAAAGTTGCTTCTAAGGTTGTTTTCTGGCCTCTGTGCAGTCTTGCCCCATCAAATCTATTCTCTACACTGTTGCCAGATTATTGACTTTTTAAAACATAAATTTGACCACACTTTTCTCCTACTTAAAGTAGGACAGTACTTTTTCAGAAAAAAGTTTCAAACTCCTTAGCCTAAACAGGTCTTTATAACCTGACTGTTCTTTACAAGCTTTTGTCAAACCAAATTTCATTGCAACTTGCATTTTCTGTGACTTAAATTAGGCAGAATCAGACTGATGTAATATAAAAATAATAGTCACACTTTATAGGCAAAGTGGAAATATGTGATCCAAATTAGTTCATCTAAAATGACATAATTTCAAAGTAGTAGGCCAAGTGAGTTGTGCACTATAACACTATTGCCACATGGAAGTGTCTCTTATGCTTGGTAGAATTTTCTGCTTCCATGTCAGTATTATGTAAGCAAAGCTATTCTTTAAATATCTCAGAAATTAGTGAGACATACAGGTATTGTGCAGTTAATTTTTTAACATTCACTACTATTATAATTTAAAATATGTTTATATATGAAAATGATATTATCAAAATGTTAAGGGGTATTATTACTGCTTATGCTGAAATACAAAGAAATAAAGTGGTACAAAATTTAGATGCAAGTAAACAATATTAAAAAGGCCAGAGTATCATGATGATTGGCTATGTAGAGAGAACACTGTGCAAAACATTAGTAATAATGCTGAGAAGATTCAAAGAAAAGGAAGAAAACACTTTGGTTGTTGTAGATTTATGGACTCCAAAGATATCTCCTCATATACTTTTATATTTATTCCCAAGGAAAAGTTAATCTTGAACTATGGTGAGATCTTCAAAAACGCATTCTTCCTGTAAAATGTGACTGCATTTGCTTTAATTATGGTAAAAATCATGAAGCTCCAAACAAGCCTTGTTATCTCAGGCTCCCTGCTTCCCAGCTTTTGCTCACATTGTTCTCTCCTTGTGGAATGCCCTCCCCCTGGCCTTGAAAATGCCTGCCTCTCTTTCAAGGCAGCACAATCATCTTGTCCTCTAAGAAGCCTTCTTCAACACCACCAGGCAGAGAGGATCTCTTGTAAATCCAATTATTACAACATTTATCATACCACTTTGTGGTTGTTTATATATTTGTTTCTCTCACTAAATTCTGAGTACTTGAAAGGTAGAAACTAAGTCTCCAGCATGTATGTTTTGTCAGCTTTCTAGACCCAAGCCTAATACATAGTTGATACTCAACAATGAATAGATGAATGAATTCAAATATTGTGTATTATTATATTATTATTATTTTTAAGATAATTTTTGTTCTCTAAATCCATTCACTCATTGACTAACCAAATACTGTAGTAAATACTATTAATTTTATCCAAATCTTACACATACTACTTAGCACTTTTCAGATAAATTACTTTCATAAAATATCTGTGCATTACATAATATTAAAGTTTGTAGTGAAGACCACCCTAGAGATTATTTCACCAATTTTTATACATATATGCTTATATATTATATATCTACAATTTAATATCTATCCACATTTGTATGTGTGTAAGCAACTGCACCTAGATATAACTGTTAAATATCTACCAACTAACAAGTATTTTGGGTTAGCTTCATTTGGATTAAGTTTTTGCAACTGGGTTTTAATTTCCTGATTCCTCTACCATATATATTTGGCCTTAGCAGACTATGCTAGAAAAATTTGGATCAGTTGTCTACCTATAAGCATAAACTTATAAGTGCCCCTGTATACACCAATGACAATTGTGACTCAACCACCTTCTTTGGAGCCCCAACCATAACTACCCTCAGGGATTCAAGGTACTCTTGAACTCTAGAGTAGGGCTTCTTAATCATTCATGTGGCATAGACCCCCATGGGCAATCTGATAGTCTGTGGACCTCTTCTCAGATCATGTTTTTACCTACATAAAATTAAATACCTAGGAATATAAAGGAAACTCATTATATTAAAATAACATTGTCAAACAAAATTTTAAAACAAATTTTGATATAGTACATGTGTACTTCTTTATTAACACATTAAATAACAAGATCTACTGGTGAGACTAATAACTTCCATATATTTCTAAGTAGGAATGAGTTTAAACCATGTATTCCAAGATCTCTGCAACCACTACAACATAATAGAAAATCTATATTCCTATTAGTGACAGTTACTACTATTATAATAATACTGTGGTTTGTTTCCTATAATATAATGAAAGGAATTGCTAAATTTTAATTAGAAGTTGGAAAAAATAAATACAGAGTGTGACAAGAGTAGGTTTATAGTTGTGACTACATGAAACAGAGTTTATTCTTATATTATTTTTAATAATAATTACTGTATTATGTTCCATATGAACAATTGTAAACCTACTTTTGCTCCACCTGTATGTAATTTTTTCCCATCTAAGTTCACAAATTTCCCAGATTTAGAACACCTGTTCCATGGCCAAAGATCTAAAAGTATCCCTACCATATTGGAGAGGGGTGGGGCGGCTGGGGCAGAGGAGAAAAGCCAAATGAAGGATTTTTGGCATTTCCAAATCCTGTGTTATTTCATTTCTTAACAGAAATACTGCACTTATGTATTACTTGTATAAAAGGCATAACAATCAGATTCCAGATTTAAAAAACTGCCGCTGCTCAAGGAGATGGAGTGCCTCAGATGCCAGAGCCCCTCAGCCTCCTCCCAATTACCCCCACTCCCAGGTGGAAGCACCATTTTTATGATTACCTCATCTTTAGCACTTTAATAACAAACCTTTGCTTTCTCATGCACAGGAATCCATTGGTTGAAAGGTAGAACCAATCCGTAGTTAAAGGACAGGATTAGGTGTGTTTCTGGCATCTTATATTTATATTGATAATATAATTCAGTTCAATAATAGGGCAATAATTCAACTCAATAATGGGTCATTTGCCCACCCTTTGTAACATTGTTTAATGAGAAAATGCTTTCTAGATTCCAAGTATCTGATGGTTTGCAAGAGAATGTTTGAACCTGTATATTCATAAGATGAAGACTCCTGACATTTATAAAATGTCCACAGCGTTCGTCAGCATACTGGGTTTGCTGACCTCTGAGTTTGGAGGTAGTACAAGACAGTAAGGAGAAAAGATTCCTTTTGTGTAAGAGGAAAAATCACTATCTTTTAACAGATGACTCTTTACTTTCTTTAGGAATAGAGATGGCTGCTGAAACAGTAGAAGACAATTGCATCAACTTTGTGGAAATGAAATTTATTGACAACACACTTTACTTTGTAGGTAAGTCTGAAGCAATAGGCCAAATACAGGGATCAGATAAATGTATTCAGCTAGAAAGAAGTGCTGTGAGATGAACTATTAAGTGACTCCTTACTGTCATCAAATTCCACTGTAATGCTAATGATATTCTCTGGAGGAAAAAAGTATTGGGCTTCTAGAAATTAACCATAATATATCCAAGGCTCCAGCACCTTGTTCCACCACATGCCTGCACTTTCATTAGCAGTAGCCCACTTACAAGGTGGCAGCAAGTGCACATCATGAAAATTCCACAAAATAAGGTATATTCAGAGAATACAATTTCCCAAAGCAAATTGGCAAATTATATGAGAGATACCTTAAACCTAGAGCTCTGTGAGTTAGCTATACCATATAATGTAAATATATTTGACAAATACAACAGATTCTTATGATTAGTCTTCCATAGGCTATTTGGCTTCATTTGAAAGCTTCAAAGAAAATCCTGAGGCAACCTTCCATTGAAGCAATAAATTTAAGAGTGAAATCTATCACTTTATAAAATTTCTTTTTAGCTGCAAATTTTTATTTATAAACCCTGGATTTAGGTTTCATAACTAACTTACCAGAGAACACACTAAGTCTAGTGAGCTTCATTTTATGGGACATTCTTGATTATGTAATATTTCTGATGAGGACACCAACAAAGGCCATCACCAGTAAGGCAGGGATTAAAGATCGGGGAGTGGCAGAAGAGAGTAATAAATGGTAGGGTGAGAGGAGAGTCTGAGTTCAAATCAGAATTCAACATGTTTTGTTTCTCTTCTTTTTCCCTTTAGCCGAAGATGATGGTAAAGTATAAATTTATTTCTCTTTCTTTGCAAAAGTAAAAATAGCTACTTGAGTAAGCATCCCACAGAAACATCCATATCACCATTCAGCTGAGAGAAACTGGTACCAAATATGAGAAGCTAATCTTCCTTCAAAGGAATATGGATCCAATAGCACAGCCTTGGAATAAAGCTGATCATAAAGGATACAAAAGAGAACCTCTAGCAAAATTGCTTCTCTAGCCCTGACTGGTGTGGCTCAGTTGATTGGGCATCATCCTGCAAAGCAAAAAGTCACCGTTTCAGTTCCTGGTCAGAGCACATGCCTGGGTTGTGGGTTCAGTCCCTGGTCAGGGCACGTGTGAGATGCAACCAATCGATGTTTCTTTCGCACATCAGTGTCTCCCTACCCTTTTTTCTCCCTCCCATCTCTACTCTCTAAAAATAAATAAATAAAATCTTTTAAAAAATTGCTTCTCTACACTTTAGCAAATTCTCCAGCTCTTAGAAACTACAAAACAGACATTGCTTGTTACACGGATTTTGAGGTTAGCAAAACATCATGGCTTCTCCAGAGTACATAGGAAAAGGGGGTTGAAACATGAGAATTGTAGTCCAAAATCAAGAACATCTAATTCAACCCTCTCTCTCAAAAATGCTTTGGGAAGAAGCCTGGGAAGTTCCCAGGGAAAGAAAATTTTTCAAAGTAGAGAAGGTGGGGAAGGTTGGAGCAAGCAAGAACTATGAGCATGAGTCATTAAGTCTTCTTAAGAAGTGGGTGTACCCAGCCCTTGCTGTTCTGGTATTCAGGGAGGATCATGGCTATAATCGAGCCTGTGATCCTCTAACAGATGCCCAGATTCTTTTTTTTTTTTCTTTTTTAAGAAAAACCAATGAATGCATAAATGGGGGGCGGGGGACAAATCGATGTCTCTCTCTCTTCTTTCTTTTTTTAAAAATTATTTTATTTATTTTTCCAAATGCATTTGTCTCTGACTTCCCCCCACCACTTTCCCCTGCCCCCTCCCCTCTCTCCCTCCCTCAATCCTTCCCCACTTTGGTTTTGTCCATGAGTCCTTGCTATATGTACATTGACTTGCTCCTTCCCTTCTTTTCCCCCCACCCACCCCTCCCTCCTTCCCTCTTGTCTCTGTTGGTTTCTTTTTCCTTTCAGTGTTGCTGGTCTTATTTTCCTTGCATTTTTGTTTTGTTGGTTAGGTTCCACTTATAGGTGAGGTCATATGGTATTTGTCTTTCATTATGCTAAGCGAAATAAGCCAGGGGGCAAAAGACAGATGCCCAGATTCTTAAAGGAATCAGGGTGCCGATTAAGAAGCTATTGTAGTCCCTATAAGAAATTTTGGGAACATAAATTAAGGCAGGCACAGCTGGGTGTCGATGAAGGGCTGTGAATAGATTTTAGAAATACTTGAAAGAATCAAGTATTTTGGGGTTGGACTTAGAAGGGGATAGAGAGAAAGATGATGCCTATGTTTTCTCACTTAGGTGATTTGTACCACTCAGTGAAAATAGGTAACAAAAGAAGAGCAGGGTGAAGTGGTGTACAGAGCAAGAAGGAAGATAGATGTTGAATTTAGTTTTGTATCTTGTCTGAGGGCATCCTAGTGGAAATGTCCAGTAGGCTCTTGGACATAAGTGTCCTGAGCTCAGGATGAAAATTTGGGCTAGAGATACAGCTATAAGAGGCTTATGTATAGAAATGACATCTGAAGCTACATGAATAAAAAGACAAATCGGAGGAAATGTGTAGATTGAAAAAGTGAAAGCCAAGGACTAAACTCAGAGGAATATTTATGTTTGAGGATGCAGTAGAAAAAGAAGTTAATAAATAACAGAGAGTAACTTAGGAGGAAGAAGAATAATCAAAAGAATGTCTTAGAATCCCAAGAGAGTTTTTCAAGGTGAAGGTACAGGTAATAGGCACTGTGTTAAATTTTGCAGGCTTAAAAATCAAGGGTAGGAAAGCAACTATTACATTTAGCAATAAGGAGTTTGTTGCTCTTGGTGAGAGAATTTTGGTAGAAATGGAGGCAAAGACAGATTGCAGTGAGAAGAAGAGTGAATGAAATAAGGAAATGATACAGTTTTGCTAGAAGCTCCACTATTAAAAGGAGAAACAAGGCTAGCTATTGAATAGGATATGATTGATGGAGGAGTTTTAAATCTCAGAATGAAAAGAGCTTTGTGTTTTTTTGATTATAAAAATAATGTGTTTGTTATATAAATAATTCAGGCAATGAAGATAAGAACATAAAGAAAAATAAAAACATGCAAATAAACTAGAAATAATCATTACTACCATTTTGATGTAATATTTCTATACTGTAGGTATATATGTGGGCAAAAGTAAGTTTACAGTAGGGGGCACATAAAACACAGCTTATTCTTGTATTGCTATTTATTAATTAGTATATTATTTATTTGTATTACAACTATAAACCTACTTTTTCCTACCCCTGTGAATGTGTGTGTGTAATGCTATAACTAAGCTTTTTCTAGTTTATACACATGGACATCCTTCCATGGCAATGAATAATTACAGTTATATTAAATTCATGATATTCCATAGTAACAGTGTATCAAAATTTATTTGATCAACCCCAATTTATAAATATTTCAATTGTTTCCAGTTTGTTGTTATCAACAGTGCTCCCATAAGCATTCTTGTAGAGAAATCTTTACACATTTTTCTGATTGTTTCTTTTTTTATTTTTTAAATTATATTTTATTGATTACAGTGTTACAGTTGTCCCAGTTTTTCCCACTTAGCCCCCCTCCACACAGCAACCCCCACTCCCTCAGGCAACTCCCACACCATTGTTCATGTCCATGGGTCATCCATGTAAGTTCTTTGGCTACTCCATCTCCTATATTGTACTTTACATGCCCATGGCTATTCTGTAACTATCTATTTGTACTGCTTAATATCCTCACCTCTTCACCCATTCTTCCACGCCCCACTCTCATCTGACACCCACCAAAATGCTCCCCGTATCCATAATTCTGTTTGTTCTTTTTGTTTGCTTAGTTTGCTTTTTAGATTCAATTGTTGATAGATGTGTATTCATTGCCATTTTATTGTTCATAGTTTTGATTTCATTCTTTTTCTTAAATAAGTCCCTTTAATATTTCATATAATAATGGCTTGATGATGATGAACTCCTTTGGTTTTTGCTTCTCTGGGGCTCTTTATCTCTCCTTTGATTCTAAATGATAGCTTTGCTGGGTAGAGTGATCTTGGCTGTAGATCTCTGCTTTTCATAACTTTGAATATTTCTTGTCAATCTCTTCTAGCCTGCAAAGTTTCTTTTGAGAAATCTGCTGACAGTCTTACGGGAACTCCCCTGTAAATAACTAACTGCTTCTCTCTTGCTGCTTTTAAGATTCTCCCTTTATCTTTAAGCTTTGACATTTTAATTATGATGTGTCTTGGAGTGGGACTCTTTGTGTCCATCTTGTTTGGGACTCTCTGTGCTTCCTGGACTTGCATGTCCATTTCCTTCAGGAAATTAGGGAAGGTTTCTTTCATTATTTTTTCAAATAGATTTCCAATTTCTTGCTCTTTCTCTTCTGCTTCTGGCACCCCTATGATGTGAATGTTGGAATGCTTGAAGTTGTCCCAGAAACTGCTTACACTATCCTTGTGTTTTTTTGGATTCTTTTTTCTTCTTGTTGTTATGATTTATTGTTTTTTGCTTCCTTATGTTCCAAATCATTGACCTGATTCTTGGCTTCATCCATTCTACTGTTGTTTCCCTATAAATTGTTCTTTATTTCAATTAGCATATCCTTCATTGCTGACTGGATAATTTTTCTGCTGTTGAGGTCCTCACTAAGTTCCTTGAGCATCCTCGTAACCAGTGTTTTGAACCCTGCATCTGATAGATTACTTATCTCCATTTTGTTTAGTTCTTTTTCTGGAGTTTTGACATGTTCTTTCACTTGGGCCATATTTGTTTGTCTCCTTATTTTGGCAGCCTCCCTGTGTTTGTTTCTATGTATTAGGTAGAGCTGCTATGACTCCCTGATTGGTAGTGTGCCCTAATGTAGTAGGTGTCCTGTAGGGTCCAATGACACAGCCTCCCGTATGACCCAACTTGGGTACTCAATGTGTGCCCTTCATGTGGGCTGAGTATACCCTCCTCTTGTAGTTGAGCTTGGCTGCTGTTAGTAGGTCAATGGGAGGGATTTACCCAAACCAGTCAGCAGCAAGGACTAGCTGTGACCACTGACCACCAACCTCCACCCTCTGTGGAAGATGAGCTGTGCAGGGGCAAGGTGGTGGTGGCAAAAAGTGGTCTGTAGCTGTTCACTGGGTACACAGGCTCTGGGGTTTCCCAGACGATACAGGCCAACATCAGCCTGCACCTGTGTTCTGCCCAGGGCCACCCTACATGAGCTATAAAGCAATCTGAGATGGCTGCTACTTGTGCTGCACTTGGAGATTCCCAAGCAAAGCCAAGTTTCGAACCTAGACTGGCTGCTGCTAATGTCAGGCCTGGGGCCACTTAGCTGTTACTTGTTTGATAGAATTTAGGAAGTTGTGAAGCATGAACCAAGCCCAGCCATTCATATGGAAAATTCACAGTTAACAGTTTGGGCGGGCCCATAAGTTGGGTGGAATGGAGTCTCAGGGGACCTCCAGGCAGGGCAAACAGTGTTAGCCAGGTTGATGGAGTCTCAGATATGGCACCTGCTGCCAGCTCTGTGGCTCTGTTGGAGGGAAAGCTCAGAAAAGTGATAATGGCCTCTGCCCCGCTTTCTGTCTAGGAGAAAATCTCAGCTCCTGCTTTGATGCCAGCAGCTTCAGCTCCTCTCTGTATGCTACTGGTGCTTTTCAAGCTGCTAGACTGGTGGTGCTGTAGCTCAGAGGGAGTGTATCTGTTTAAGTCCATGTGTGGATCCTTTAATAGGAACTGCTTAGGACTCCAGAAGTTTCTTCCACTGACTCAAAACCTACAGGATTTTTGCAGCCAGCAGTTGTAGGGACTTATTTTCCTGGCACTGGATCCCTAGGTTAGGGGGCCTGGTATGGGGTTGGGACTCCTCACCCCCGAGATATCCCTCCCTAATTTTTATCCATCACATGTGAATGTGGGACCGGTCTTTTCCATGCCTCTGCCCCTCCTACCAGTCTGGATGGATGTCATTCCTTTAATTCCATAGTGACGGTTTAATTCCATAGTTCTGAGTGACGGTTGTTCTATATTTTAGTTGTTTTGATGTAGTTGTGTGAGGCAGCAACCATGATTACGTATGCCACCATCTTGATCAGAAGTCTTTTTTTATTGTTTCTTTAGGGAAAAAATGAAGAAAATAGAATTTCTGGGTTCTATTGAGAAGGGATGATTGGTAAATCAAGATTTCCAGAGAAGCTCCCTGGCTGGTGTGGCTCAGTGGATTGAGTGCCGGCCTGCGGTTTGATTCCCAGTCAGGGCACATGCCTAGGTTGCAGGCCAGGTCTCCAGTGGCGGGTGCTTGAGGGGCAACAACACATTGATGTTCTTTCCTTCTCTTTCTCCCTCCCTTCCACCCTCTCTAAAATAAATAAATAAATAAATAAATAAATAAATAAATAAAATCTTTTTTTTTAATCGCATCTTTAAAAAAAAAGATTTCCAGAGAAGCTACATCAGAGCACAGATTGGGTTGGCCTTGAATACCAGAAGGGACACCTTTTTTATATTCTCCCTTAGGACAAGAGGGATAAAGGAAATAACTGGTGGTGGCAGACTTAAATTTATAAGTAGAGTAACAGAAAATCATTTATTGAAAATGAAAGCAAAGACAATGATGTAGAGATTCTGAGGAGAGTAAAGAAGGTTTGATATTATAGCTATGGGCTCAGAAGAGGGTGCTGAACTGTAAAAAAAAAAAAAAAAGTATTGACAATTGTGTTTGTAATGGCACCAGTTTGCGCAATTGTATAATTGTTTACTGAGCAGCCAGGTTTGGGGTTTTGTAGTAGAAAGACAAATGAACAAATGAGTTAGGACCGGAAGATGAGCGAAAGTATAAATAAAATGATGAACAATAAAGGTCCAAACTGCATAGAGAATGAAGGGAAGACAGGACAGTTAGATAAGGAGGAAATGCATTTTTAGAATAAGGAGGATTCAGTTAAGTGTAAGAAAGTATAAAACAACTAGGATAGGAGATTTTGATCAGAAAGTAGGATATTTGAATTTAAAATTTCAGAGGTAGAGTAGTTCTGGGTGATAACAAGAAACAGGGTGTGCCCTTGGAAGTAGATTAAAATACATTGTGTAACTACCTCAGCTGCTTCTGTAGCAGAAGATTGTGATCAGTAGTTATTGAAAACTGAAATATATAATATACCTATTTGTAAACTTAGAAAAAAACTTATTTTTTAATGAGATTTAATGTTTATTCTAGAAAACCTGGAATCAGATTTCTTTGGCAAGCTTGAACCTAGATTGTCAGTCATACGAAATATAAACAACCAAGTTCTCTTCATTTCCCGGGAAGGCCAACCTCTGTTTGAAGATATGACTGATGCTGAGAGCGCTGGTATTTTTTTTAAATATGTTTACAAACATAGAAATGACAAACTACTTCTTATTCCATTTGACCACTTACATTTTTCTATTATAGCCCTAGTCCTGAAATGAAAAGTCATGGAAGTCATAATAATTTCACTTACAAGAAACTTTATAGACATCCGAATATTTTAGTTGGCATGAAAAATTGAAACAATAAAGGCATTGCCATGGTATGGGAGGAGGACAAAGATGGTAAAGGGGATCAAAATTGTGGTGACAGAAGGAAACTGCGTTTCAGGCAGTGGGCACAAAATAGAGTGTACGGATATTATATTAAAAAATTGTATGCCTGAAATTTATGTAATGTGGTTAACCGATGTTGCCCCAATTGATTTAATTTTAAAAATGTTTTGGAAGCTATGGGTAGGGGTCACGTGACTCTGGGCCTACATTTGAATCACCAATTCCTTCATTGCAATTGCATTAACTGTGTAAGATCTCTATAGAGTTGGATCCTTAATACCTGCTGCTTATAGTTGAAGTTGCTGATAGCACTTTCAAAACTCAGAATTAAAAACAAACACACAAGCATTTCAAATAAGTCTGTCTTCCACCGGAAATTTAGAGAGCCTTAGAAAATGAGTAAATTTACTGTGCTTTCCAAGGTATAATTCAAATATCAGAGTTTAGGCAGAGTTGATACAGTGAATATGCACTCTTGAAAACTACTTAGCAAAATGTTCTCCAGATCCATCCATACTAAGTGAAATAAGCCAGCCAGAGAAAGAAAAATACCATATAATTTCAGTCATAGTGGAATCCAATGAACAAGCTGAACTAACAAGCAAAATAGAGACAGACTCAGAGAGCAGGATGACAGCTAAGTGGGTCAGAGGAGGGCAGGGGGATTGAGCAAAAAGCAAAAAGGACTCATGGCCATGGATAACTGTGGTGATTTCAGGGTAGGAGGGATGTAAGGGGACTAAATGGCAATAGAAAAAAAATACAATAAAAAATCCTAACTTTTTAACCTTAAGAGATTTTTAATATTCTGTTTAGCATTTAAAAGTAAAAGACAACCTTTTAGAATTCAGAATATCTCTTAAGCACTCAAAATTTGCTGCTTTTGTGTTGTAACACATATTTGAATGTGTTTTAAGGAATATATGAACAGATGTGTATAGTCTCCAGCTAACAGGCTGAATCTCAGAGTGTGGAATTAGTAATGGGCCTACTAAGGATTATCCTTTGGCTAATTTTCATAAATATTGATTTGCAAAAGTTCTTATAACTAGTGTTCTCATTTATTAATGTTTATTGCAGGTAATGCACCCCGGACTGAAATTATCATGTATATGTATAAAGACAGCATCCCTAGAGGCCTGGCAGTATCCATCTCTGTGAAGTGTAATAAAATGTATACTCTGTCCTGTAAGAACAAAATTATTTCCTTTAAGGTAAGACTGAACTTAAATTTGTTTTAGTCATATTTATGTGGAAAATTATAAAACCTAAATATCCTCAGTTCACCTTTTTGTCTAGAACAAGGATGGCAAAAAGCCAAGAACCTTTATAATAGTTATTAAAAATTGTCCAGCTCTTTAATCTATTGTAACATCATGCTTTTTTTCTAAGTCTGCCATAGGGAAGAAGATGTACAACCTTTGTTTCATAACCTGGCTCTTCTGAATAATCACTCTATAATAAATAATGATATAGAAGACATATATGAATTATTATATTTATTTAAGAATTGCATGGCTTAAAATGAAGCTAATTATCCTTCTGCAAACCCTCTACGTACTTTGTGAATTATGATAATATTTTAACCCTTAATTTTTTGTTCCTGTTTCTCAGTTTCATCCTTCATCTTTCAGTTAATGTATGTTCTTTTAAATGTAAATCTAAGTGGATAAAATTAACTCGATTAGCTGTAAAAGCAATAGTATATCTCAAAGCCAGGTATAAATTATTTCTGGTCACTGCTTTTTTTTTTTTAATCTATTCTCCATTTTTGTTTTTTCTCTTAAAGAGTTTCTGAGTGGGGATTTGCCAGTAAAATTCTGCTGTGGGAACTGAAGTTTAGAGTATGACCTTAGTGGACATGCAAAGGGGCAACTTGGGAGGGAGGAAAAAGCCTCTCTAAAATCCAAGTAAAAGCAATCCGTATGGCACAAATATAGCCTCCAAACAAATCCCTTAGCCATCACCTCCTAATCAAAGTGCCACCCTTTTGGGTGACAATTTAGAGTCCCCATTCTCTGTCCTGGCAAGCAGGAAGCTTAGTTATCATAATGGCTTTCCAGGCCTGAGGATTGACCTGCTGGGTGGAGAGGATTAAGCATGTTGTTACTTAGCAACAAAATCAGAGGGGAAGGAGGGAGATGGCCAAGCTCAAGCCATGTGGAGTAAAGGAAAACTAGTTCAGCTGCAGAGGCAGATTCAGAACCAGGGATAAGCCTGAACTATAAGTGGGTTATTACTGAGAGAATCTGGGGATTGTTAAAAGAAATGGAAATAATGCTTGACATATAGTAGGAATTTGGGCAAATCCAGGGTCAGGGGATCCTGAAGCTTACATAATTTGGGCAGGCCTTTTAAAGAAAGAGAATGTAAAATTACCAAAGGTGTTAAATTGACAATTTATTTAGAGTAAGAAAAGAAGGCTCTTTAGAAGAGACCTCTGCATGTGGGGGGTGAGGATGCTCTGACATTTCAACTTCATTAGCTTCGTAGCAAATCTGCTTCCAAAAGGAACTCAGTATATATTAGTTGGAGGAAGGGAGGGAGGGAGAGAAAGGGCTAGTTTTAGCTCGTGCTCTTTAATTTGTTTTTCCCCCACTAATAAGGATCTTAGCAGTGATTATAAATTTAGACAAAATTCTACTAGATAATAAAACACAACTGGCTGCCATAATGTGCTCACCTTTCTGTGTTGATTACTAGCTATTAAGTCCTAGAGCTTATGGTTACCTCTATTTTCTTGGGTAAGAACCTTCATGACACCAACGGAGATTTCTTCAATGAGTTAGTTGCTGTTAATATCTATTTCTTGTATATACATCCAGGCATGGTCTAGATTCTTTCAAACTTGCTAATAAACTTGGAAGGAGGCAAAAAGGAAAACAAACCAGATATTAGGTCAAGCCTAACTTTCCCTGGATTGATATTCAGCCCCTCCTGATGTAAACAATCCCCCAGTCCTTGGAGCACTCAAGTTTCTTTATGTAAGGCTGTTTCCACATCCATTTACTGTGCACCTTCCCTATAATGGCTAAGAATAAACAACACCAAAACCAAGGAAAGCTACTGCCCTGGGATTTCCTTGCCCCTTTTCTTAAACGCCTACCCATACCCCCACTTTCAACTACAACTTTTCATGCTAGGTTTGAACTAACAGGATTGTCTCTCTCTAACAAGGCAAAGGTTAAGATTTATGACTATAAATTCCATAATTGATTGAGAAGTTTGGAAGTACCCAAACTTCTTTCAGGTATTGTAGAATGAAACTGGAATGCTATTAATATTTTAGATCTGGTGATCTCTCCATCAGTCCTTAGTTAGGTTCATGAGAATTTTTGCTACCATGGGGTCAAAATTAAGTTCAAATGTCTACTGGTTCCAGAATAAACATGGAAAAGACCTTTGTTGGTCCTTGAATTTTCTAATCCCTCTTGAAAATAGGTATGATACGAAAATAAAAAAAATGTAGGCAGTACTGTGAGTTAGGTGACCAGCAAGATTATAGTTTCAAGTGATCTCACCATTCTTGAGAAAACCCTATTTTGTGCCTGAAAGATACAGAAATCAGAATTTAGCCTTGCCCTGGCCAAGTAGCTCAGCTGGTTAGAGCATCGTCCCAATATACAAAGGTTGTGGGTTCAGTCCCTGGTCAGGGCACATGCAAGAATCAACCAATGAATGTGTAAATATGTGTAACAACAAATCAATGTTTCTCTGTCTCTCCCTCCTCCTTCCTCTCCTTCTCCCTCAAATCAATCAAAAAAAATTTTTAAATAAGAATTTGGTCCTTCAGGGCAGAACCCAGCCAATAGAATACTTTCAGAATAGAAATTCAGGACTACTATGGAAGTGGAGTGCTTGGTAAGGAAAAGTCAAAGGCTGCCGACTAAGCCACTATGGCAAGGTTATAGAGGAATCAAGGACTTAGCCCCAGAATAGCTGTAGTGGGTCTGTTTACAGTAAGTTTCAGTTCCAGCCTCCACAGAAGGAAGGAAGCAGCTAAGATTCGTGCCACTTCTGCCTCTCTCACAGTTGGCTCACAAACTAGAGTTGGCCTAGGCCTGTGGGTGGAGGGCATCAGTGTCTTCAGTTCTGAATGGCTGGATAAAACAGGAACTGACATTAGCCCAGAAAGGCTGTAGTCTTTGCTAGAACCAACTCCATCTTCAGCAGATAGGAACTTCACTCAAGGGGAGAAGAGAGAAGGAAGCTGTAAGATTAATAAATTGGGAAAAGCTAGAGACCTAGACCTGAATGTGCATATCTTGGTGGGAAAAGCCAAATGGACAAGGAGAAAAGGAGATTAGGAATTAAGAGGGAGAGATCAATATTTTTATACTCAGAGATTTTTTTAATCTTAACTCATGATAATACAAACTTCTTTAGTTCTGTGCAGTAATATACTTCAAAATAAACTGCATATATTCTAATTGCTAGAGCACTAAAAATTAATAATTTTTTCTCTACAGGAAATGATTCCTCCTGATTATATCAAAGATGAAGTAAATGACATCATATTCTTTATGAGAAGTGTTCCAGGACATCGCAATAAGATAAAATTTGAGTCTTCATTGTACAAAGGGCACTTTCTAGCTTGTACAAAGGAGAATGATCTTTTCAAACTCATTTTGAAAGAGAACGATGAATATGGAGATGAATCTGTAATATTCACTGTTCAAAACAAGAACTAGATATTAAAATTGTATAGCTTGAACTTCCTGAGTTTTGTGGAGAGTTTGAACCTATAATTGTAGGGATGAAATAAAATGTACAATCATCTCAAAAGATACTACTAAGAAATGAATGATAAGCTTTCAAAAAATTGAATTGACTCCCCCTTATCCACATGAATAAAATATTTGCATAATGTAAAAAAAGTGCATAGTTTGAAAACACATTCTACATTGTTGATTGGAACATAGATCATACTCAATAGAAGTGTTTTGAATATTTTGGATTATGTTGAAAGATATTGATATTTGAATTTTCTAATTGTTAAGAATATCATTATAACCATTGAGATTTTGCCACGTCTGAGTGGCTCAGTTGGACAGGGCATCACCCCATACACCAGAAGCATGCAGGTTTGTTCCCCGGCTGCTAAGTAAGCCCATACTTAGGTTGCAGGTTCAATCCCCAGTTGGGGCGTCTACAGGAGGCAAGTAAATAATGTTTCTCTCTCACATTGATGTTTACTTCTCTCCCTCTCCTTTTCTCTCTCACTAAAATCAATAAACATATCCTCAGATGAGGATTAAAAAATATATGCCATCAAGAGTTTGTAAAGAGACCACTTCAGTTGACTAATTTCTGCATTTCTTCCAAAGTCAAGATATCTTTAAAATTCAGATTGATCCTGAATCTAGCAACATATAAAAAGGATTATATACTCTGAGCAAGTAGCATTCAATCCAGAAATGCAAATGCCTTAATATTCCAAAATCAATTAATGTAACATATTGTATTAATAAAGGATAAAAACCACACAATCATCCCAGTAGATTCAGAAAAGCATCTGACAAAAGCAAATTCATAGTAAAAATTCTCAACAAACTTGAAAGAGAACTTTCTCAATGTGATAAAGGGCATGTGTGAAAAACCTACTGTTAACATCATACTTAATGGTCAGAAAATAATTCAAGAATGTCATCTCTCGCATCTTCTACTCAATGTACTGGAGGTTCTAGCCAGTACAATCATAAGAAAAGGAAAAAGCATCTAGATTAGAAAAAAAGAAGTTAAACTGTTCTTATTTGAAGACAACATGGTTCTTTATGTAGAAGATCTGAATAGACACATGTGTGCACATGCCCACAAACCCCAATTAAAATGAAAGAAAATCAGCAAGGTTGCAGAATACAAGATTAATATATGGAAATAAACTGTATTTCTATATTTGAGAATGTACAATTAATTTCACTCACAATAGTTCTAAAAAAGATATAAATTTAACCGAATAAGGGCAAAATTGGTAAAATAAAATTTTTAAAACATTGCTGAGGGAAACTAAATATGATCTAAGTAAGTGGAGAGACATTTCACATTCATTGATTGGAAGACTCAACATCGTTAAGACAACAGCTCTCCCCAAAGTGATCTATATATTTGATTCAATCTCCATCAAAGTTCCAGCAGGATTTTTTGCAGAAATTGATGAACTGTACCTAAAATGTACATGAAAATTCAGAAGACACAGAATAGCCAAAACTTTCTGAAAAAGAACAAAGTTGGAAAACTTTCATTTCCTAGTCCTAAAATTTTATATAAATTCTCAGAACCATTTGGTACTGACATAAGCATAAATGGATCAATAGAATAGATTTTTGAGTACAGAAATAAATCCTTACATTTATGGCCAGTTGATTTTTGACAAAGACAGATAAAGAGGAGGGTTTTCAACAAATGGTGCGGGACAATTGGATATCCACATTCCAAAAATATGAACGTAAAACTTTACCTAACACTATACAAAAATTAATTCAAAATGGATCAGAGACATTAATGTAAACTAAAGCTATTATACTTTAAGAATAAAACAGGAGAAAATGTCAAGACATTTGTTGGGAAATACCTTGTCTGGTTTCAGAAACTGTAACCCCCACTGACAAGCGGGAGGGCCCCAAGGCTGTAAGTAATCAGAAAGGCCTTGGAGAAATAGGCCCCTGAGGAGATATAACCTCTGCCCCTGGCCCTTGTAATGGTCGCTTATTGATGACAGGTAAGACCCCTCGATGGAAGGGGCAACCTAAGCCAGACATTGGCTGGTATGGGAGGCAGACAAGAAATTGGGGGACACTGAGAAAGGGCAAAAAGGCCTGCACCCCTTAGCTTGGCTTGGACATGGCCTGAGTCCTCATTCTATCTGAAAGCAGTCTCCTTGTCTCTTGGCGGCTCCCTCCCCTCACCTGACTCAGGCTCAAAACAATACCAGAGACAGTCCTAAACCAGATCTGGCAGTTCCCAGGGAAATCAGACCTAAAAGTAAATTCTTTAAAGTATGCTTTGTTTTTTCCTGGGAAGCTCTAGCCAGCTCTTGCTGGGAAGGAAATTTACATTATTCACAGACCCTAACCATGTACTCTTGGGCACTCTTATGTTTCTTACACTCTCCTGTTTAGTCTTCTCTCTTGTTTACTAGTATCCTCTGGGACCCATGTAAATTGGTGTGTTCCTGCCACTTGTTTTCTTCAAAGCATCACCTATTCTCTGTAAACATTAACATATGGATGTAATGAGATAACCTGTGCATTCCTGTTACCTGGCCCCATTGATAACCTTTTCAATAAAAGCCTTTGAACCAAAGGGACTCGGGGGCCTTCCCCACTAGGGGGATGTGCCATGTCCCTTCTCCTGGCAAACAGAGATGTGTTTGCAACGACTCTTGTTTATCGCCCCCCCCCCCCCCCCCCCGATCTGTGACACCCCTGGGACAGGCTCTACAGGGTTCAGAGTCCCTGCTCCCACCTCCGCTGGCCCCCGAGGGTAACGCTCAGATCCCGGAGCTCCCAGCTCCCCGCGACATGCTCCATACCCCGACGGCAGTTGTTGACCAGTCTGGTCCAGGGATGAGCTGCGCGCGGCGGCGCTCCCTCCACGCACCACATGACAGACCTTGGGTTAGGCAAAGATTTTTTTTAGGCCAAACCAAGAAGTGTGGTCCATAGAAGAAAAAATTGATAAATTGGACTTAATCAAAATGCAAAATTTGGGAGTGAAAGGTACATAGGACTTCTCTATCTTTGCAACTTCCTATATCCTTAATTATTTCAAAATTAAAAATTTTTTAGAAACAACTTTGCATGCAAAAGACATCATTAAGAAAAGGAAGAGACAAGACACAGACTGGAGAAAATGTTTGTCAATCACATATATGGCCAAAAAAAAAAAAAATTGTATCCAGAATATACAAAGAACTTCTACAACTCAATAAGCAGACAATTCAGTTTTTAAATAGGCAAAAGATTTGAATAGACATGTCTCAAAAAGATGTACAAATGGCTCATAAGCACATAAGCATATACATAAGCAAGTATATGGCTCATGAAAAGATGAACAGCATTAGTCCTTGGAGAAATGCAAATTAAAACCACAATGAGTTACCACTTCCTAGCCACCAGGATGGTTATGATCATAAAGACAGACAATAACAAGTAGCAAAAATGTTAAGAAACAGGGGGTGTGAAAAAGTGCAGCCACTTTGGAAAAGATTTTCAGTTTCTTAGAAAGTTAAATATAAATTTTTCCCATGAGCCAGCAATTCCATTCCTACATACCAATTCAAGAGAAATAAACCATGTTCACACAAAGATCCATACAGTAATGTTCATGTCAGCATTATTATTAATAGCCAAAAAGTGGAAAGAGCCCATCAGCTGGTGAAGAGATAAACAAAATGTGCTATATCCATAATGGAACACCAATACCAGTAAAACAGTATAAAATACAAATACTTGTTATAATGTGAACCAACTTTAAAAAGATGCTAAATAAAAGAAACTAAACACAAAAGATTATGTATTACATGATTCTATTTATATGAAATGCCTAGAAAAGGAAAATCTGCAGAAAAGTGGGTTCATGTTTGCCTAGGGTTGTGATGACAATGGGGATTAATTGTAAACAGATATGAAAGATCTTCTTGGAGAAAAGAAAATGCTCTAAAACTGGATATGGTAATTGTTGCACAACCAGGTAAATTTACTAAATACCATTAAATTGTATACTTAAAATGGGCAAACTTATGGTATATAAATTATGCCTAAAGTTATTTTAAAAAGAAAAGAGTCAGTTTGATCAATTTTTATATTAACTTTTATCTTTTCTTCCCTACTACAAAATCGACATATTCATCATAAAAATTTTAGAAAATACAAAGGAACTGTTAAAAAACAAAATTCAATTGAGTAAATTTGAGTATCCAATTGGCTTAACTTAGTGATTCATGAATCAGGCACCATCCCATCTAGCAAGTAGGAGCTCTGAGAAGCTGTACAAAACTGGAGGTTCCTATAGGCAGGAGTGAGCAGAAACTAAGAAAGCAGGTTACCTCACCTTTCTTTGGGTCTGTCAGGTGGGTGACCTCACTACTGCTGACCAAGAAACTCCAGATGGACTGGGAGATGCTGGAACTGCAATTTAGGTGTTGTCTTGGTGTAGTGACATGGGCTTAGCACAAATGACTCCATTTGAGACCATTGCCTCTCTTTTTTTAACAGAACAAAAGAAGAAAAATTAAACCACCCACCCTTCTATCTTAAGACAACCATTTTTGACATTTTAGTGTAGGTCCTTATAGTTTTTCTTTGTATAGGAATTTAGGCTGAAAAATTAAGACACCCTTTACTTCTTGTCCTAGACAAAATCTTGTATACCTTTCAAAGCGGCAGTTGAAATCCTGGATATGAAAAGGGAGAGCCGGAGCTGAATCTGGATGTAAGAAATGGAAAGAACTGATGGTCCTGATTAGAAAGACGGGGCTCTGAGAAGGGAAAGCACAAAAGGAGTTCTAGCTTGAGTTGCTCCCATCAAAAAATCAAAAACAATCAGTCAATCAATCAAACCACACCAGAGTCTGAAACAAGGATTTGTGTGCAGGTCCTTTGTTTGAGAGGTGATCCCGGAGAGCAGGAGTGAGAAGCCAGGAGAGTGAGAAAGGGAAGGTGCAAAACCTAGTACAAGGTATGTTATCAAGGCTGTCACTGTGGGCCCGATTTGTCCAGAACCTCCTGAGAAGCATAAAGAATGCCCCCAAATCATCCCCCTGGAGCAAGGGAAGCAAGAACACTTACCCACCAGCTCCTGACACCCATTAATTGAACATTGTCCCTAGCCCCACACTCCTGAGCTATGTTTGTGTTACCAAACAGAAGGAGTTTGTTCACCCAGCACTAGTAGAGTCAAACACCAGACACTGAGAATTGTAGTGGAGAAAGATTGGCAATTTCATTATGA